GAGGCTGGCCCTGTGGGTACATACCGGGTCGCAGGGCCCCCTGCGACCCGGTATGTACCCACTGAATGTGGGGCTCGGACGACCTTAGCAGTCCGGGCCCCCCAGGACCGCCGGGCCCATGACAACCGTTGCGGTTGTCATGTCCTGATGGCGGCCCTGCCTGAGGGTGTCTAGAGGTAAATCTCCATTCGGCTCCAGGGAAGAGCGGTTCCAGGGCCCCAGTCAAGCCATGGCGACTGTGAGCAGAAGTGTGGTGGTTTGTCCCCTGTTCCAGCTAGGAAGTGGTCTTTGGTGGAGGTACCCAGCCAGGGGTGCAAGTCCAAGAGATCAGAGATTTCCCTCCCCGGTCCGCAGGTACCGTGCTGGCAGCCAACAGGGGAGGGAGAGAGGACCCAGGAGCTCAGCCTGAAACTCCTTCGGGTCCTACTCTTGTGAGCACAGAGCGTTGCCGCTGTTACCATGGCAACGCTCCAGATCTCGTGAGAGTGAACTCTAGCCCTGGAGCTATGGGCTAGAGTTCACTCTCACCACTGGGACCACCAGGGATTCCTCACCAGACCACCAGGGATTGAGAAATTTATTTTTATAAGAATCTTTTTTATTTTTTTATAAAAAAGCGCCCCCTACCCTCACAGCCCCCATACACACATTGCCCCCCACACACACACTACCCCCATACACACATTGCCCCACACACCCTACACATTCACACACTACACCCCCCCACACACACACACTGAACCTTTCACACACACTGCACCCCTCACACATTGCACCACTCACACCACTTCTCCTATGCCCAATTACAGCCCCATATCCCAGCAGACCCCAGGTACATTGTCAAACTGTTCTTAAACTGTTTGACTACTTACTCTGGAAGGGGGTCCCAGCACTCCTGGTACCATAACCACTACACAGTGCTTTAGTGGTTATTGTGCATGGATTATTTCTTTAAATAATCTACAAGTGCCCCTCCCGAGATCAGGCTCTGGATCTGCCACTGGCCTGGGGCTTTATTTATATTATCTTTATATACTTTGCAATTTTATAGTATATATTTCTGAAGTACTATATGTGTACAATATAGTGCATTTTGTTCTCCCTGCTATATTTTTTTAAAGTAAACTTATTCATGAATTTTAAATGTATTCATGATAAATATGTTCTGTTTTATTCACAGAAAAGAAAAAACTGAAGAATGCTGATTGTCCTCTTTGGGAAAGACTACTACAAGGCCCATCTGGAAAAGTAGCAAAAATGTTCCTCATGGACAAAGAAGTAGAAGAAATCAGTAGTGATGTATAAAAAAAAGACTTAAATTGTTGTGTTTGCTTTTGTAACATATTCCATATTTTATATCTTAATAATACTAATTTTAAACTGTTTTCATATTCACAACAGGTAGCGCAATATATCAAATTTAGCCTGCCGGTTCTGCAATCAATTCTTAAAAAATTAAATGAAGAAGAAGAAAGGGAAATTAGTAGAACTATTAATAAGTAAGTTTTTTTAAAAATATGAAAATTACTTTGCAATAATTCTTTTTATGCAAGGTTTCATTCAGTATCTAAATTGTACTGAATTGTATTATTAAAATTAAGGAACTCTCTGAAGACCATGTCAAAAGAATGTAATTCCAGTGGTGATCTTCTCATTGAATTAAACTACTGGTAAATTCCCAAATGACATATCCCGAGAACCTTGCTGAGTAGTTTATGGAATATATAAAGAAACCATGTTGAAATCAATGGGACGACAACAATATTTTCAGAAAACCTTCAGGCACCATAACCACTTCAAGAAATGTAGATGATTATTGTGCCTGAAGTCCACAAGCACTGTTGAACAGTAGGCACATTTTTTAGCAGAGATACTTTGTACTGGTGGTCTGTGGCCGGGCCACTAATGAAGAAATTGTGTAGGTAAAATTCTGGTCTGCCTAATGCCATAACAAATCATACCTGGGATGTTGGCAGTAATAGGCTGAGAGTGTCTCTTTAGAGATGAATACCATGAAATGGTATTGTACATCAAATAATATAGCGTTTTTAATATGTAGGATTATGTTAATTTCCTCTCTTCCTAATCCCTTTTTCTTTGTTTTGGCATATGATCTCACATATGCTATAATTCTCAAAAACAATTAAAAGACTTATTTATCATGGTCAATCACTCTTTAATCATTTGCCATGTACAAGTCATGTAGGCGGTACTACTATAAAACATTTCTATTTTTTAAATGTGCTAGTCATATGTACACGATATTAGTAGTGAATGAGATAGCCAAGTATCTTTTAATTATTAGCTTTTGTCTCATTTTAGGTACTTCAAAGAAAGATCTATAGTGCTACAATATCTGAACTTAAAAATCAAAAAGACAGAGACTACAGTATAATCATCCATCCTCTTGACTGTTACACTGATATTTACTTAAGAAACAATGATCTAGAGGAACTTGGACTGAAAACACATCAGTGATAGACTTCAGAGACTTGATTTGCACTGGTGATTTGTAGGCTGGATTATATAAAAAAAAAGTCTTTATAACTTTCGACTTGAGATGTCAAAATTACAAACTGCGTAATTTTATCAGGAAAAATCATCAAGCAATATTGGAAAACATTCAGTCTTCAAACAAACCTCATACAGTGGACAATCTGTATCACCAAGTGAAACCAGTGGAGTAACACTGTGAAATATATTTTCCATCAAATAGAAATGTATCAAATTATTTAAATGTACTGTACCTAAATCAAAAGTTTGAATTCCCAATTGAAGGGTGCTGGGATAATTAAATATTTTGTTTAAAAATAATACTCTGCTTCTCTTTTTTTTTGTACAACTTGTAAGTTGCCCATTTATCAAATGCTCTAATAATTGAAAACATTTTTGCATTGTTATTTTCACTTCAGAGTCATGATGTTATATGGGGCTATTCACTAAGTGAAGTCAAATAGGTTTATTCAATTCTGAATGTTGGTTTGAACTGAAACATTTTTTAAAGTCCCTAAATTCGTTTTTAAATTTCAACTTGGGTATTATCTAAAGACAATTTGGTAGCATACTCTGAGACTCTACATGAATGTGCAGTTATAATTCAGACAGTGGAGCATAGGAACACGCAACATGTTAACTTATCCATACAAAATATAGGTATTTGGACATCTGCATGTTGTAAAATGTGTTGAATAGGTAGGCTGCCTATCCAGGCCTCAGCTTCAAATATATGTGCCCACCTAACTGTGATTTCCACTTTACATGTTTTTGTAATTGTTTGTGTTAATGTCCTTCATACAAGGGGGCATCACACAAATGTACCCTACTTATCCTGATACTCCTCAGTACACATCATTATAGGATGTCCTCACAAGTTTTCTCTGTAATAAAACATACTAACGTACTTATCCATAATAGTCAAATAATACAAGAGATGAGAATATCATTTTGCCTCTTTATAAATCACTAAATCACTGGTAAGACCCCATATTGAATATGCTGTGCAATTTTGGGCACCTGTTCTAAAGAAGGATATCATGGCACTAGAAAAAGTGCAGAGGCGAGCTACAAAATTAATAAAAGGAATGGAACATATCAGCTATGAAGAAAGGTTAACAAATTTAAACCTATTTAGTTTAGAAAAACGTCGCCTGAGAGAGGATATGATAACATTATACAAATATATTCGGGCCAATACAAACCATTGTGTGGAAATCTATTCACAAACCGGACTTTACATAGGACACAAGGCCATGCGTTTAGACTGGAAGAAAGAAGATTTCATCTAAGGCAAAGGAAAGGTTTTTTTTACTGTAAGAACAATCAGGATTTGGAATTCTCTGCCTGAAGAAGTGGTTTTATCAGAGTCCATACAGATGTTCAAACAGCTACTAGATGCATACTTGCAAAAACAGAATATTCAAGGATATAATCTTTCAATGTAGGGTAATAACTGCTTGATCCAAGGATAAATCTGACTTCCATTCTGGGGTCAAGAAGGAATTTTTTCCTAGCTTGTTGCAAAATTGTGCTTCAACCTGTTTTTTTTGCCTTCTTTTGGATCAACAGCAAAAATCAAATGTGAGGAAGGCTGAACTTGATGGACGCAAGTCTCTTTTCAGCTATGTAACTATGTAACTATGTAATACTAGCATCCTTTGCTGCATTCCTCTGTGCCACTGAAAGTGAAAGTAATATAGGTTGTGTATTCTGAGGATGTACATTACATGTTTAGTATGTCTTAAGACCGATCTGTTCAACTCTTTCATTGAGAACTAATAAATAAATAAGCAAATACTCTGAAAAAAAAGAGTAAAAAGAAGGATCCACTCCTCCCCATGGACTGCACTAAGCGTAGAGTAAAAGGGGCATAGAAGAGGCCCAATCTACTGTTTGAAGTCTTCAATTGTTCTTTCTTCTTCAGTGTTCTTTGCGTGACACTAGAAAAGGCCAAATTAAAAATGCTCCCCCCAAAAAATTAAAAATATCCATCTGATGGGGGCGGGGCCTGACCACTGAGAGTGGAGGACGCAACCTGTAAAGCACCTGCTATGCAGCACTAATTAAGTGGATTTCAGCCATCAAAACGGGACCTAATAGGCCCAAAAAGGCCACCAGGCGGAAGGTGAAAACCAAGGGCACACACTGATGCCACATAAGCGACAAGTTTGGCATAACGCACCTGCCCTTCCTATGACGCCTACACAGGTGGTCGGCGTGAGGGAGACGGACGCTCCCCCGCTGACATTTACGGCTGGCAAGCGGAGACCAGACCCTCGTTCTCCCCCCATGGACTGGTGGCGGTTATCCCGGTCCACACTCGGGAGACCCTGGTACAACCCGGCAAGAATGCTGAGGTGACACAGGGGCCTGCAACAAGTGGCGGCACTGCACCCAAAATGGCGGAGGCAGCGTGCTTCTCCAGCACTCACAGCAAGCTACCAGAGGTCGAACACCGCCTGGTCAGGGCCTTCCAAGTTTTCTGGGAAAAGCTGGAGGCTCTCATGTTTCCGACGAACCCAGAGACAGTGCCTGACTCACAGTGCCTGACAGTGCCATACACTCACTCAAGCAGGGTCAAACTGGAGAAGGCACAGACACCTCAAGCATCGAGCCGCCCAGAAAGACAGAAGCAGCGGGACATTAGCAGACAGCAGGAGACCGGATATCCGTCAGGCGGCAACAGGAGCATACTGACAGCCCCTGGGAACCGGCAAGTAATCGTGTGGATGCATATCAGCCCACCCTCCCACCAACCTGATAGCGAGGGCCCATCACCAAGAGGCCAGAACTACCCGACCCACAGCCTGCCGGCATAGACCTGCACCTTAATGGCAAACGGGAGAGAGGATTACCCTAATCTATCAATGGTACCCACTACTCACAAACTGATTGGACACTCACGCTACTATGCAGTTCCATCCTAGAAGGTTTACTTTTCGACGACAGGACTGTCATTCCCCACCGCACACCAAAACCACCCAGACTGCCAAGTTCTGCCCTTTGCCACACAGCTTTCCAGCGACCCCCTGGGACATACCACACAATTTGCCCTAACTGAAGGACTAAGCCTGCCCTCATATACTAAGCGTGGAACCTAATGATTTTGCCTAACACATAAATATAAAATTGTGCATGTACTTTAGAAATCCCAACTGTTATAGCTATGTATTAAACACGCTGGAGGACTGCCATTGGGGTACCTCACGCGCAGATGTTTAACGAATATGCACTGCAAAAATAATTTTTTTTTTTAAAAAGACCATCAAAGACTCTTCAGAAATATGAAAGAAGTTAAATTGGGCAAGGGGCATCAAGTAAATGAAATATAAATTGGAATCCACCATCCTGTTTTATAGGTCATAACCCTTCATACATTTACCCCCCCAAAAAACTGATTGGGTTTATTTTGTACATTATAAAACAATATTAAAATATCATAAATATATGCACAGTTCTCCAAAGGTTTAGAGAGGTTCTGTGCAGACTGATCATTCAATCCTCTATAAAGTCATTTCCCGGCTTTGGATGCTCAGAGAAGTGTGATTGTTTTGTTTTTTTCGTGGAAGTCAGCCAATTGCAGCTCTCTGATGGGCAGGTCTTGCGTGCCATATTTGCCTTTTAATTTAGACGTACTGTAAACTTTTCTCGCATTGCAACATCAGGTTGCATAGAGCCTTCAAAAGGCTCACATAGATATTTTGTTTGCGTCTTATGGGCAAAAAAAGGAGAGTATTTGCCTTCACCTCACAATTATTAGTGTTTAGGAGTGTAGAAAGAGGTATACTTTGAGTGAAGCTGTTAGGAGTTTGGGGATTCTGAGGCACTGAGAGGTTGTTATTTTATTTGCTCAGAGCACTGTGCATGTCCTGGGCCCTTTAAAAGGACCATTTAGTTTAATATAGGTTAATCCCTAATGGCCAATAAAACTGGGTATCATTTAGGCCCTTTTGGCCCTTTGTAATAAAAAAGGCTTGTAGACTAGGGTTCATTATCAGCTATTTGTTTTATTTATTTTGACATTTTTTAATAGGATCCAGGAAACTGTTCACCTCCAAGACCTTTATTTTTTATATTATTTTTATATTATTCTTAACCCCGCAGGGCGTGGAAAAGAGGAGAGGCCTCTTTTTTTTCTTTTCGTATTATTCATTATAATTATATTATATATTCATTATATTATTCTTATTCATTGATTAGGATTGAGTCAGGTTTATCAATTGGCGCACTGAGCTTCTGCAACATTGCTAGGATTTGATCAAGTCTACACGAGTTTTTCATTTTTAGATTATTAAGGTGCAGGGGCAGACTGACCACACGGGCACATCGATCAGGGACCGAGAGCCTGAGTCAGTCAGGGAGCCCAGCAGCAAAGTCATGCTTCTGATCAGAGATCTCCACAGCAGAAGGAAGTTATGCATAGAAAGTTAATGGAAAGGTTGCAGGGGGCCCATAATGACTTGAAGGGCCCCTGCAACCCATCACTCTGTAAATAAATTCCTCCATTCAGTGTTAGACCTGGCAGCATACCTGCTCTCACTGCCAGGTCTCCTCTCTTTCTCTCTCCCTGTTTAGTGCTCTGTGTGAGGATGGGAGGCAGGGCAGGAAGTAACACCACACCCCCTGTTTCCCTCTCAGACTTACAGCATGCATGAATGGTGAGAAGAGGATCCTGGCCTGCCCAGTGCTGCTTGAGGAAGATGGAGGGAGAAAAACATCAGATTGTACAGGTAAGCAGGCTAGGGGTGAAAGGAGCATATGTGGGATCAAGGGGTAAGACAGGGCAGGAGCACACAGGGATTTTTGTTAGATACATGTGGGTGGATACACAAATAAATGGGGTGGGTCAATGAATTGAGTTAGATGTAAGACAACTATTGAGGACAGTTAAGACACAAGGGGGATATTGGAAAGGAGAAGTGTGCAGTGAAGCAGAGAAACAGCTGAGTGGGAGGTGAGGGGGACAGAAGCTGATCAGATGGGTGACAAGTAGTGTTAGAGAAAGATGAGACAAGAGGTAACAGATGAAAGGGAAATAAATGGACACATACAGAGCCGGACTGGCCCACCGGGATACCGGGAAATTTCCCGGTGGGCCGTCGGCACCTGGGGCCGGGCAGCCAGCTGGCTCACCTGCGCCCGCAGGGTTTGCTGGCTGTTCTTGCGGCCGCGGGGGGAGCTGGCTGTTGTGTCTCTGCTCCCCCTCCCCAGCGCGCTGCTTAATGAGACCGGGGCCCGAATATGACGTCATATTCCGGCCCCGGTCTCATTAAGCGGCGCGCAGGGGAGGGGGAGCAGAGACACAACAGCCAGCTCCCCCTGCGGCCGCAAGAACAGCCAGCAAACCCTGCGGCCACCAAAGGAGCTCCCTCTGCAGCCGCCAGCCGGCGCCGCCAGTCCCCACAGGTAGAAATTGTGTATGTGTGTGTGTGTTTCATTTGTGTGTGTGTGTGTCTGTCTGTCTGTCATGGTGTGTGTGTGTGTCTGTCTCATGGTGTGTGAGTGTCTGTCTGTGTCAGCAATGTGTGTCTGTCTGTCTGTCATGGTGTGTGTGTGTGTCTGTCTGTGTCATGGTGTGTGAGTGTGTCTGTGTCATGGTGTGTGAGTGTCTGTCTGTGTCAGCAATGTGTGTCTGTCTGTGTCATGGTGTGTGTGTGTGTCTGTCTGTGTCATGGTGTGTGAGTGTCTGTCTGTGTCAGCAATGTGTGTCTGTGTCATTGTTTGTGTCTCTGTGTCCTGGTGTGTGTGTCACTGTCTGTCATGGTGTGTGTGTGTGTGTCTGTGTCATTGTGTGTGTCTCTGTGTCATGGTGTGTGTGTCACTGTCTGTCATGGTGTGTGCGTCTGTGTCATGCAATCTGTGTCTGTCATTGTGTGTGTGTGTGTCTGTGTGTGTCACGGTCTGTGTGTGTCATGGTGTGTGTGTTTGTCTGTGTCATGTAATGTGTGTTTGTCTGTCACGGTGTGTGTCTGTGTCACGGTCTCTCTGTGTCATGGTCTGTGTGTCACGGTCTGTCTCTGTCATGGTGTGTGTGTCTGTCTGTGTCACGTTCTGTGTGTGTCATGGTGTGTGTGTGTGTTTGTCTGTGTCATGTAATGTGTTTCTGTCTGTGTCATGGTGTGTGTGTGTCTGTGTCACGGTCTCTCTGTGTCGTGGTGTGTGTGTCTGTGTGTAAATAAATGGAGTGGGTCAATGAATTGAGTTAGATGTAAGACAACTATTGAGGACAGTTAAGACACAAGGGGGATATTGGAAAGGAGAAGTGTGTCACGGTCTGTCTGTGTTATGGTGTGTGTGTGTGTCAAGGTGTGTGTGTCTTTTTTAAGGTGTGTGTCTGTCTGTGTCATGGTGTGTCTGTCATGGTGTGTGTGTGTTTCTGTCTGTGTCACGGTCTGTCTGTGTCATGGTATGTGTGTGTGTATGTGTGTTTTTACTCACTTTTTTTTTCCCACATCATGCTGGTCTCCCTTCGCCCTGCCTCTACGGCTGAGATCATCAAGCTTGATGATCTCAGCCAATCCGCACTGACACAGGAAGCACCTCTAGTGACCGTCTGAGTGTCTGTCACTAGGAAGCAATGTAAACACTGCCTTTTCTCTTAAAAGTCAGTGTTTACATTGAAAAGCCTGCAGGGACAGGCTATAGACACCAATACCACTACATTAAGCTGTGTGTGTGTGCGCGCGCTTGCTTGTGTGTGTGTGTGTGTGTGCCTGCTACTGAGTGAGCTTGTGTTTTTATGTCAATAACCTTATGTATGAGGCTGTGTATCAATCTGCTTGTGTCAGTGAGATTGTCTGTGTATGCATGTGAGTATGCTTACTGTATAATTAAAAATTTTACTCTGAAAGGACCAATATTTTATATTGGAAAAAGCTATATATATATATATATATAATATTGCCAGAGATAGCACTCCAAGGACTAATATAAAATATAACTTTTATTACCTTCACTAAAACAACACAAGGTCAACGTTTCAGCTTGATCCCCTCAAGCTTTCGTCAGGAGATGTCCTGACGAAAGCTTGAGGGGATCAAGCTGAAACGTTGACCTTGTGTTGTTTTAGTGGAGGTAATAAAAGTTTTATTTTATATTAGTCCTTGGAGTGCTATCTCTGGCAATATTTTTTGCATTTTTGTCTGACAAGCACCGGGCATTGAATATTGAATTGGTGGAGTGCAAGATCAGTTTTTTTTTTTTATATATATATATCTCAATCATCTAGGGTTGCAAGACATAGCCTTACATATTACATGCGACAATATATGGCGCAATGACTTATGGGGCTGGCATAGATTTTTTTTCCAGGGCTGCTTTGGAATCCCCAGTCTGGCCCTGGACACATACTTATTGGTGAATATTGAGAGCGACATAAAGTCGAAACATAAAGGCGAAACTACCAAATATTGCCCTAACAGAACGAGAACAATTTGTTTATTCATGTTAAGACGACATTCGGTACTTTTAGGTCGAATTAATGAAATTCCGATCTGATCCATGCATCTTGCAGCCGCTTAGTCGATAGCACCATATTTCCCATGGTATTAGGGAGCTATCTACCAAAAGGCTGAAAGACCAAGATTGGTCTTGCAGCCAACTTTACTAATACTAAGTAAAAATGACTTAGTATTGGTAATTAATCTGCCCCTACTTGCTATATCGTGAGAAGGGGCATGTCTAGTAAACACAGGCTGCTCACTGTTGTAAAAAATAAATAAATCACCCCCCCAATAAATGGCCCCATGGGCGTCTCTTAACTAGCAGGGGGGGTGACATAGTGCACCCCTCGAGCCCCCACCCTTGCCCCACGAGTGGGGACTATTTAACTAAAATGGGGCGGGTGGAAGCCCTAAAGGACAATGGGGGGAGACCTATTGTCCTCCCTCCGGCCTCCACCTATGAGCGGTGGTTGGGGGCTCTAAATTAAAATGGAGGACCTATTGTCCTCCCCCCACCATGGCCCCCACCCACGACCGGCAGGTGGGGACTCTAAATGAAAATGGGGGGGGACCTATTGTCCCCCCCTGGCCCCCACCCATGAGCAGTGGGGGGGGCCCTAAATGAAAATGGGAGGACCTATTGTCATCCATGAGTGGCAGGTGTTCTTTGGAATTTTCCCATGCTGTTTAAAATGACTCAGAGCACTCTGATTGGTTGGATTCTAAGTCAACCAATAAGAGTGCTGTGGTAGGTAAATTATGAGCCTTGCCTAATTGGTAACTTGCGCTCTGAGTCAAATTGCAGGGCACGTGAAGGCTTTATAAACCTTTCCCTGCCCTGTGGAACTCAGTCTGCGTGGTGCCCTCGCTGGGTTAAGATGGATTATTTTTGTGGGCGTTTTTTTTTTTTGGCTTTTTATTTATTTTTTAAGTTCGACGGGTGTTATGGATTTTTTTGGGGAAAAAAGAAGGTTTTAGTAAAAAAAGATCAAATGGTAAGTATTTTTTTATTTATTTACAGGTATTTAGTTTTATTGTATCCCCCGCTCTATTTTTAGGGTGAAGGGGGTAGGTAGGGCTTTATTTAAAAAAGTCACCCCTGGGTTGTTTTTTTTTTACATTTAGCCCCCACCTGTCACTCATGGATAGGGGCCGGGGAGGGGACAATAGGTCTCCCCATTGTCTTTTAGGGCCCCCACCAACCGCTCATGGATGGGGGCTAGAGGGAGGACAATAGTTACCCCCCTTTTTCATTGAGGGCCCCCACCCACCGCTCATGGGTGGAGGCCAGGGGGGACAATAGGTCCCCCCATTGTCTTTTAGGGCCCCCACCCACCCGTTTAGTTTCATAGCCCCCACTCGCAGGGCACAGGTGGGGACTGGGGGGGGCACTATGTCCCCCCCACTAGTTAATAGATGCCCCACCATGGGGCCATTTGTTGGAAGGGGGGGCTTTTTTTTTACAACAGTGCGCAGCCACAGGCTGCTCACTGTTTAGTAGACATGCCCCTACCCGTGGCATAGCTAATATGGAGGGAGGACATGGGGGCTTAGGAAATGGCAGGGAGCACAACTCCCTGCCACTTCTATTTTTACATATTACAAGGAGGGAGTTGCACGCCGTTAGCAACCTCCTTGTAATACTGAATGAATGAACAAACGAACACCGATGGTGTTTGTTCATCTGAAATTTCTATTCATTCTTTCCTTCATCTTTCTGAATTAATATATACAAAATTCCCGTCCAATTTCCAGACAACAGCGAATTCCCAAGTGTTTAACTGGGCATGGGCGGGAATTTCACAGTGCTATCTAGTGTGGGCAGATGACGTGTCCCACAGTGCCTTCATCTACCCACACAAAGATGGCGGCGCCCAGGACCTAGGTCCGGGCACGAGACTAAGATAAAAAAAAAATAGGTAATATGAGGGGCTTAGGGGCATTTGGGGTTACTGGGGAGAATTAGATGTAGTGGAGTTGGGAGGGGAGTTTAAACAAGAAATGGATTTGGCCATGACAGTGCCACTTTAAGTTTTACATTTATCACTAGAGTAAGTATTATGGAACATCTGAAGTGGTTATTAAAGACCTGACAGATATATTCTGTGAATGTTTTAGAACTGATGACTAGTATGTGACAGTGGGACAAATATACTAGATCTCCTGGAAAGTGGGGATATCTGAGTATCCATGACAGGTATCTGTAGTGGCATATAATACCTTCTAGAGAGATATATTCATAATTTAGTAACCTGCTGCTAGAAATGCTTGTGTAGTATGGACTGTTATTATTTAATGTATAACAATCTAGCTGTATGGTAGCACATATTACATATATAATGTATATACAATCTAAATGTATGGTAGCACATATTACAGGCTCATGACATTATAAAAGGTTAACTCTGGGGGCGGGGCCTGATCGCCATACTTATCGGTCGCACTTAGTGTAAGCTCTCGGCAAAATTATAGAACTGAGCAAATAAATCTACTCAACACTCAAGTAAATTTGACAACTCCTGTTGAAGACACTCTGCAACATATTTTGAGGCATTTAGCCGCTTGACTGGTGGTATTACCCCGAAGCATCTCTGAGGCCTACCTGTGAGGGACACAAAAGTTTTATATTGACAAAGGGAGTTTTACATGAAATGGTGTGCCTGATGTCATATACTTTATTGGTGTGTGGATGGGTAAATTTCTTAGACGGAATCATATGTCCACATGTGACACATCCAAGGCATCGTATGCATCCTCGTATATTACTCTTTGTGGTCTTAGTGTAACTATCCACCGGATCTGTGTGTACAAGAATATCCTGAAGATTTCTGTTCCTCCTGTAGCAGATCATGGGGGGTTCCATGAAGATTTTAGGCAGTGTATCGTCAGTGGCTATTATTTTCCAATTGTGTTTGATCACAGCTGCAACCGTGTTAGCGGAGTTGTGGAATGTCATTAGAAACACTGTACGTTGTGTATTAGCCTTAACCTGATTCGGGGGCTGCTTTGGCCTCCATAAGTGCATGTTTCAACACTTGACCTTCATATCCTCTATTCACAAACTTTTGGGTCATCGACTCCAATTGTACCTCTGCTTTAATTGGATTAGAGTTATTACATATAACTCTTTGAAACTGTGCCTTCGGTATAGATTTTTTCAAAGCCATAGGGTGGGCACTCGGTGTATGCAAAAGGGTATTACGATCAGTCAATTTAGAAAACAAAGTGTATTCAATCCCTTCTGGTCCATATGATAGTTCCAAGTCAAGATATTGGACTGAATCCCTGCTGATATTTGATGTGAACCTAATCGGTGTAGACAAGTGGTTCAATTCATCAATCATATGTTGTGCCTCCAATGATGTACCCTTCTAAATTATCAGGAGGTCATCAATGTAACGATAGTATCCTGTGATCAAAATTGCATATGGCTTTAGTATATACTGTGTCTCATATATATACATGTATGCATTAGCATATCTTGGGGCTACTGCAGACCCCATGGAAGTCCCAGCCACCTGAAGGTACCACTGTTCCTCAAATCTAAAATGATTATTATGGAGGATCAATGATAGTAGCTCCAACACAAACTCAATTGGTGGACCCCGGTATAATGGTGAGTTAGATAGTAGTTGGCGCATGGCTTCTATTCCATCAATATGAGGAATGACTGTATATAAATTAGAGACATCCGTAGTAATACAAATCGGCACTGTGTCATGAAATTCCAAGGATTTAATGATGTTCAACAAAGTCTGTGTGTCTTTGACACAGGTATATAGAGCCTCAACTGGTTCTTTTGCATGCCCACCCTATGGCTTTGAAAAAAACCTATACCGAAGGTACAGTTTCAAAGAGTTATACGTAATAACTCTAATCCAATTAAAGCAGAGGTACAATTGGAGTCGATGACCCAAAAGTTTGTGAATAGAGGATATGAAGGTCAAGTGTTGAAACATGCACTTATGGAGGCCAAAGCAGCCCCCGAATCAGGTTAAGGCTAATACACAACGTACGGTGTTTCTAATGACATTCCACAACTCCGCTAACACGGTTGCAGCTGTGATCAAAGACAATTGTAAAATGATAGCCACTGACGAGACACTGCCTAAGATCTTCAAGGAACCCCCTATGATCTGCTACAGGAGGAACAGGAAGAAATTTACCTATCCACATACCAATAAATATATGACATCAGGCACACCATTTCATGTAAAACTCCCTTTGTCATCTATAAACTTATGAGTCCCTGCGGACTGTATTATGTGGGGAAAACGGAGACCCCCATATGTGAGCGCATCCAAGGCCACCGGTCTAGTATCAGGTTGGCATACCGTGATGGCCAATCTGACAAACCAGTGGCCAAACATTTTCTGGAGATGGAGCATCCACTATCCTCCCTCAAATTTGTGAGTATAGACCACATTCCCTCTCCTAAGAGGGGTGGTAATAGAGACAGGATGCTGCTCCAAAAGGAAGCTTTTTGGATATACCAGCTGGGTACGGTGGCACCTAAAGGGCTTAACGAAAATTATCCCTATTATTCGTTTATTTGATTTCACCAGCTTGTACTATATAGGTTTTATTATTATATGTATTCTTTTGTGTATGTGAATAGTGTAAAATAACTCATAGAAGTAAATGTACATATGAGCTTTACAGTAATATGTATAGATTTTTTAAATGAAGTGATAGTATAAGCTTGTTTTGTATGGTTAGGCTAAAATGCACCATTTATTATTGCACTTGATAGGTATGTAACTTACATGCCCAGGCATTAGTCCTGTATGTGTTTTATATAAGGGATAATATATTTTGAAATCCTATTTTATATGCATTATTTGCTATTATCCTTTATTACCTTTTTTTTATAGATACTTGTTCATAATATGTATTTTTATAATATGTATTTTTTACACTCTATGCACTTTCCGATTTTACAATTCAAATTCTCATCTCTCTTTCTTTGTTCATGGTGGTTTGGCTCTTTTTTCTATATTATAGCCGAGTTCCGGCATCTGTGGTCGCTAAGCAACCACATACACTGATAGCCTATGAAACCGGCACGCACCATGTGCACGCCAGGGGGCAGAGCGTATTTACGTATGCGCACGCATACCCGGACGTGCATGGGATCACGGGTAGCACGAACACACTGCACCAGGGTGAGTTTAACCTAATTACATTCACGCTATATATTGTCATTTGTAGGATGTTGTTTTATGTTGTCTTGTTACCCTGAGGAAAGTCCCGAATAGGGACTGAAACATTGGTCTCTGATTTTAACTTGAACTAAATAAAATATTGGAATTTTAAAGACCGGTGCGCAGCTATCCTTTGGCATACTGTACTTTTGGAGTCTAGGTTATGGCACCCGGCATTATTGGACACTACTAAGCGTGAGTGCGGGGGAAATTTTATTTATATATATATATATTTATATATATATATATATACATCCAAAACAGTTATGGTGGGAAAAAAATAGTGATTGAAAACCCCTTCCACCTGGAGTCTGTGGATAGTAAATACAATGTTAAACAAAAATCTGCACACCAGTCAAGCCTTGCTTTTTCCACAGAAATTACAAATTTGCAGTGATGTTACTACCACAGAGGATTCTGGGTGGGTATGTGTAAATTAGTTCAACAAAGAATCATATTTTTGCCTAATTCAATTTTAAACATGGATTTAAAACACAACTCAGGAAGAGGTGCACTGTTAAAGTGAGATTTATGTGGTAAAAGCAAGTCTTATGGCTTGCCTGGTGTGTGTATTTGTGTTTAACATTGCATTAACTATCCACTTATTTCGGGTGGAAGGGGTTTTCATCCACACTTCTTCCCCACCACAACTTATTTGGTATGTACTTCACAAATAACGCCAATCCTCCATAGCAAGCCAGTAACCTATCTCATGCTGATGAGTTGTAATAACAACAAAACAGCTGTCCATGAGTGGTTCACTGGCATTGCACCTCTTCCTGAGTTGTGTTTTGAAGCTACCCAGAATCCCTTGCAGTAGTGAGAGCACTGTTAAAGTGAGATTCAAGTTTTATGGCTTGCCTGGTGTGTGTATTTGTGTTTAACATTGCATTAACTTTGTATTTGTGTTTAACATTGCATTATAGTACATTGTATTGGTGTTGTCCTTTGTTCTTGTTTCATATCATCTGCAGCCCCCCTCTGGATCAAGATCTCAAGTGTATCCACAGGTGGGGATTTGGAGCTAATTATATCCTATCCTTTTTTTTGTTACATATTTGCCAAATCTGTTCTGGATTGGTGGAAACCCCTAAGGCATTTCTTCCCTCCCCATTTTCTACACAGATATAAGCATTGATTTAATATTTTTTTTTTAATAAGCTTTCCAAATGATTTCATATTTGTGGATAAACTTTAAAAAAATTATTAATATATAAAGAAATAGCAAAAATATTAGAATATTGAAATATTTTTCACATTATCACATTTTAAAAGCTTATCCAAAAATATTAAATCATCTGAGAACATTGTCCGAAAATATTAAATCCAGGCCATAGATAGTTGAAATTAGTGATTTGCTTATCTATAACATCATTTTCAGAATATTTTTAGATTTGTTCCTTTTATGCAAATTTCAATTAGCATTGGACATAGTTATACCTATTGAAAAAATAATTGTTAAATATACAGAAAAAAAAGGGAGATACACAAATCATCCATGTTTGTTTAAAATCTTTATTTATTTTGTTTAAAGATAAGTGCCAGTTGCATGTTTTATTTATCTCTAGGAAAACCTTTTGTGCAGATGAATGGATATTCTTCATCATTCGGTTACACACTAAATGAATAATAAAAGAAAACAAATAAATTGTTACTCTGTGTTAATATGAACACTTTCAACTCAAACTAATTTTAGATTTCAGATAGCTCAACTGAAAATACTGTACGTTTAGCAAACCAGAATTATTTTCAAAATCTAGTAAACTGAGTATATTCAAAAATATATAACTCCACCAAATTACATCAAACTGTAGGTTTGAACTTTCTATAATGTTTTGTAATAATTAGTTTGTTCTGCTTACTAAACCAGGAATTATAAAGAAACTACAATAAGATTGCAAATTGTTGGTCAAAAGTGAAAAAACATAGAAAACTAAGCTATGTTCATTTTTCCCTATTTAGGTCTTGTTTTAATACTTTTGGATGAGGTTTTACAATTGTTTTTTAAAATCGTCAAATATCAAAAATATGTACTACATAAAAATATATCAATATATCAAAACATATATTTCACAGTATTGAATCATTTAAAAAATGTATCCAAAAATAAATACAATTTAAAAAAGCAAACAGTACAGTGCTGCTGTTTGCTTTTATTTTATTTAAAATTTTAAATCAATTTTACTTATTCTTTATATTAAGACCACTTCTACATTCCATACTTGAGGGATTAATTTACCAGTCCACAGTAGAGGCATGTAAACAGATTACTAGTGATGAGCTTGTTTTTATATCTTTCTTGTAAATGCAACCATTATTTTTAAATGTATTGTTTTTTAAATGATATAAACTCCTATGTCTAATGACCTGTTGGTCCGAAACACGTTAGATGTTTTGGTGTGACCTTTTCCACCTGTTTGTTAGTTTTTGTTTTGTGTCAATTAAACTTCCTGTGGATTTTGAACACTTGCAGTGGTGTTATTTCTATATTTTTTTTGTTTTCATTTTCAATAATCTTGCATTTGTTTGATGTTCTCTTTTTATTTTGTGGGTAGCATTGTATACATGAATATATTACCAAGAAGCTCTGGATCCGAAATATATCCTTAAAGGGAGACAGGCTCTTAAATTTGGCTGTCTTGTAAGTGCATCATGTTCCCTGCACTAATATGGTTATATGTACTATATTACTCTATTTTCAGTTTATGATTGTTTTTCCAGTGTTATCCATCCTTACATAAGTGTTTCTTGTGCCTTGGGATTGATCTACTCCATATTTCTATATTGATTTGTAAGGTTTTATTTTTCATATTACTAGGTAAAGTGTAATTTTTAGTTCAGTCTCTTTCCTCTTTTTTTGTTTAGTCTACTCATAAAAATATCCAGACGATTGAGAAGGTCAGACATAGTATCACAAAAGATATATACATTACAAAATTTGATTCACAATATTGTGATGGCTTTGTTTTGTGTAATAGAGCCCTTGGATTTTTTTAATGGAGTAAGTATTTATTCTTGCCTCCAAGTCCAGGATGACTCTTTTCATAATTGCTCTGTAAGAATTTTTCTTAATAGTAATTTCATACTGTATGTTACCTGGGTTTTTTTTTTAATGTTCAACCAGTTCCTTGCACTTTGCAATCAATAATGGTTTCTGGAATAAAATACAAACATTTTTAAAGTTGTACATTAACACAAATATGTACATTGACACTCAAATCGGTTGAATGGATGAAATTTGTCTGAGATTAATTAAAAAAATTTGGGACATATTGCTTTGGACAAAAAACATTTTTCCACTATTCCCAAGTCTACCGCATACACTCTTGCAACCAATGCTTCCTTAAAGTTATTCATACGTTTACATTTTGTGTAGATAATATACTTTTTAGACTGTAAGCTCATTTGTGAAACAATATCATCGCCTTTTATGTTCGTTTGCCTATCTTGCTTCATCTCTGTAATCTGTATGCATGTATTATACATAGCTTAGTGCAATATATTGGTACTTTTTTTTGTCATGAATGTTACGTGTAGTATATACAGCAAGTGAAATACATCAGTACTACATAGATGTAAATAAGTTAATAATATAATTACATGCAAATAATGAAGGTGACTAACATGAAAAATCATGGAGAATTTGTGTATATCCATTTGGTATGGGGCGTATCTAGAGCATTTGGCACCAGGGGTGGATCCTGTGCTTGGTAGATCACCCCTCCGCCCACTCAAACGTAAAAAAAAATCCACTATTTTTTTTAATGTTTTCTATTTTTTTTTGTGTTTTTTTTTTTTTATTGTCTTCTACAAAACCCTGCCTGGTCCCCTTTCTAGAAAGCACCTGCCTAGTTCCCTTTTTAAAAAACCCTGCACCCCCTCTCTACAAAAAACTCTGCCCAGTCCACCTTCTACATAACTCCCCTTTCTACAAAACCCCTGCCCAGTCCCCCTTCTAAAAATCTCCTGCCCAGTCCCCCTTCTACAAAACCACCACTCTACAAAGCCCCTGCACAGTCTTCCTTTTACAAATCACCTGCTCCCCTCTACAAAACCCATGAACCCTCTCTACAAAACCTTCTGCCTAGTCCCCCTTCTACAAAACCCCCCTTTCTACAAAACCCATGCCCCATCTACAAAAACCCTGCACCCCTCCTCTACAAAACACCCTGCCCAGTCCCTCTTCTACAAACCCCTCCTTCTACAAAATCTCTGCCCAGTCCAACTTTTACAAATCCCCCCTCTCAAAAACCCTGCACCTCTGTCTAACAAAAACCTGCATCCCTCTCTAAAAAAAAAACCTGCACTCCTCTTTGAAAAAATCCCTGCTCCCTCTCCAAGACCCCTTGCACCACCCATTCACAAAAATCCCTGCCCCCCTCTCCAAGACCCCCTGCACTCATCATTCACAAAAAAACCTGTCCCCCTCTCTACAAAAACCCCTGCTCACCCCCTCTACAAGACCCAATCCCCTTAAAACCCTCTGCACTCCCCTACAAACCCCCTGCCCCCCCATTCACAAAAAAACCTGCCCCCCCTACAGACCACTGCTGCCCCCCCCCTCTACAAGACCCCTGTCTCCACCCCCTCCACTCCCTATACAAGCTATAAAAACATTGAGTGCTAAGGTACTGTCAGCAGAGTCAGAGTGAGGCAGAGCACTCTGAAAAATAACATCATAATCTTTTTTTCTCTCATGGTCATCTTAATTATGTGATAATATTCACTTTTTGGCCTGAAGTGTTTCTCTTTCCCTGAGCCCCACTAACATGGATATGAGAGCTTCAGCTACACCATTGCTTTATGCTTCGTTAACACACTGCCATGGTTCATAACAAACATACCTCTGTGTCAAAGCATACTTGGTGATCTTCTGCTGCACAGCACTTTTCATATATCTTAGTGAATTCTGCAGACGCGGCAGTAATTTTGTCAGCCTCCAGAGTAATCTTTCGTTTCAAAAAGTCAGTAAACAGTCTGGAAATTAAAATAATTGATGATTATACATGGTCTGCGGTCTCTCATTTAAGTAATGTATTCCGTTGCATTCAGTTCTACTACTGAAAAGAAAGTGAATATCACATGTAAAAACTATATTTAAGAGTTAAACAAGATTTCTAACCGTCAAAAACTAGTATGTTAAATCTAAAGAAAATACATATCTCCGATAGATTGATACTTACGTCTTTTTCTGCGTTAGAATGATTTCTGGAGCAGCTGTGCACAAAGATGCATCAAAATGGAATATATTTTCATCCAATGGTGGAGGTACATATTTTGTATCTGGTCCAAGACCAATGAAACAAGCCCGTCTTTCAGTATAAAGTCCATTACAGCAAGCTGCAACATTGTCATTGATGAAGGTCTTCTCCTGTCTCTCACACATTTCTCCGATGATTTGGCTCAACTAAATATTCAAGCATGATACTATTATCAACAATAATTTATTTTCAAGAATATGTAATTAATAATAAGAATAAGAAATTATAATAATATATATATTAATAGATCATATCTTTCAGGCAGCAGGCAATGCTTCATATATTCTACATATATTTGAAATAACTTACCATTTTTTGATATGACCCTACAAGGTCCCTTTGGTGATATTTAAAAAATTATTTTACAAAATCATCCAAGTGGACCTTTTTCTGACTAAGGGGTTCTTCCACTAAACTTGGAATTTGGGAAAATTGCATTTTTAAGCATGATGAAAAACATAAGAGAATATTATTTTGGCCTTAAATATGAAATTCTCATCTGTTTTTCAATTAGTAAATAAATCCTGTATTAGTGGATTGTGAACCAATTACTATTAAAGGAACACTTCATGCCACATAATCATTACAGCGCACTGTGACGATGATTATGGTGCCAAGTAGGCCCTTGGGCCACCTCATTATAAGTAGTCAAACTGTTTTATATTGGCTTGAACTCTTACCTGGGAAACCATGTAAGGTCAAATCAAGTATGGTAACTAAAAATAATAACTGAAATATTTGGCAGTAAATAGACCAGCAAAATATTTGGGGGCAAACAACACTAAGGTATGGGCTGTGGGAAATGGTTCTGATAAACAAAGGTACCGCGCAATGTAAAAAATGTTCAGTTTGGCTTGTGACTCCGGATATCACTCATGGAGCCAAAAAAGGGATGACTGGGGGAAAAAAGAAGATTGGTACCGAGGGAAAGGTCACCAAACATTTATTTTATTCAGAGATCAAATGAGAAATGGACAATAGAGGAAGAAAAATGAGAAGCTGTGAAAAAAATCTATAGCTATGTATTGACCATTCAAGTATTTTGATCACTGATAAGATTTAAAAGAGCAATGATATAATAGACAATTACATATATATAGACAAAATATATATACAAACTGACTGTAAGAAACACATACCCCAGTGTCTGCACAGGGCATTCTGTGCTTTTCATCCAGAGCACAGCATTTTTTGCCCACCTCAACCATTCCAGTTGTGATCTCAATCAATGAAGGCGTGGTCACAACTGGTATTTTCTGCACATATCGTGTAAGTAATCTAAAATTATGAACAAAAACATTTTATTCATATCAAAAAACACATAATTTGAAAAATAGTAAGTTTTCCTTTTGAGAATTGTGGTAAATGTAATATACTTTTTAGTCATAGAATGTGCGAAGTTTCCATAGAAAGTTTATTTTACTTCTATTCTTATTTGTCAACCAAAGCAAGCAATGTATTTTCAAGTGTGGAAATAGCCTATTTATATAACTGTTTTATAATGTAACAAAGCAAGAATGTTTCTCCTGTTGTAAATACTGACCAACTGTTGGGATCTACAACAATTAGGAGGGCCTAAAGAATAATTTTAAAAATTCACATTGTTGCAATTTTATTTTCAATAAGAAACAAAGAGAGAACATGCAGAAGCTCTGCACACAAACAAAATCCATGTTTTCAATCTCTCATTGCAACATAAACACACTTTTATCCAATTAAGAATGTGTGATGTTTTTCACACCAAATGGCCATGAAGCCAAATCAACCACTACCTGTCCCTAAGTTGAAGTCTTGAGCCTTTACAATCAATTCAATGATAGGTATTATATATGGCTGTGTCTCAGGGAGTAGATTAAACAATAGAGAGTAGGGGCGATAGTCTTATGTACGGCATAATTTCCATCAATATATATATAAAGCTACATGGGGTCCCACTAACACTGAGGTACTTTGATGCAGTGATGCATCAAAGTGTATATGAGATAGGGGTTTGTGGGTACTCTTGAAAGAGTAAAGATCTGCCTATTTTATGCACAATTTTTTTTCTTTGTTATATTTATTATGTCATTAAAGGACCACTCTAGGCACCCAGACCACTTCAGCTTAATGAAGTGGTCTGGGTGCCAGGTCCCTCTAGGATTAACCCCTTTTTTTTATAAACATAGCAGTTTCAGAGAAACTGCTATGTTTATAAATGGGTTAATCCAGCCTCTAAATCCTCTAGTGGCTGTCTCACTGACAGCCGCTAGAGGCGCTTGAGTGCTTCTCACTGTGAAAATCACAGTGAGAAGACGCAAGCATCCATAGGAAAGCATTGTAAATGCTTTCCTATGATACCAGCTGAATGCGCGCGCAGCTCCTGCCGCGCATGCGCATTCAGCCGAAGAGGAGGATCGGATGCGGAGAGGAGGAGGAGAGCTCCCCGCCCGGCGCTGGAATAAAGGTAAGTTTAACCCCTTTCCTCACCATCCAGCCCAGCGGGAGGGGGACCCTGAGAGTGGGGGCACCCTCAGGGCACTATAGTGCCAGGAAAACGAGTATGTTTTCCTTTAAGGTGGTAACGTATTGTGTTGAGCATCTGAATCAATAGCAAAAAATGCCTTTGCATAGTAAATCCAGGAAGTGAAAACAGTGGGTTAAATGGTACTATTCTGCCATTCTCATATGCAACTAATATAATTATTACATTAATCAAGCGTTGTTTGACAAACACCTATTTTATGCATTTTAAAAAGACAGGCTCGCAATGCTCTATTCACTTTCCTCTGTTTCATTTGTAACAAAAGTTGTAAAATTTATATTTAAGGTACGAATAGGCAAGTGACAAAATATCAGTAAATAGATGATCACATAAAAAAATAAAATAAAAAGGAAGTTTAAATTTAAAATTATCAAGATGCTCTGACTAAGTGTAGCTTTCTTTTATTTAGGGAAGGAATTAAAGAGATATAAAGCAAAACATTACCCAAATGATTATCAAAAGATTATCAGTATCGTTGTTTCTTTCTATTGCTTAGCAACCACAGCTCCTGAGCGCTGGTTGATAGCAGTCTGGTTGCATAGCAACCACGCAGAACATGTCACATACACCTCACGCATGTGTTTTTCCAACACTTCCGAGTTCAATCAGTCTTCGTGCTGTCCTGACGCTGTATTGGTAAGTGCTTTATTCTTTTTCTTATATATTCTCATGTTGCACTTAACACTGTGATCTTGATAAAGACCCGAATGGGTTGAAACGTTGATTTACATCATTTGCACAGTTATTTGATGGAAATACAATAAATATTTTTTTTACATGGATTTCAGACCGGGAGTGCTCCCCATTACTATTTATATTTATATATATATATATATTCCATCCTTGGATAAATAGGTCCACCTCCTTCAATATTATTTAACTTACATTAGTTGATACTGATAGTCTCCAAGTTTTTCAAGGGCTCCACAGTTCTGTTCTAAAATGTCTCTGCTTTGCTTAATTGCATTGTCCAGTATTGTTTTCTGTAAGAAATTGTGATAACAGCTTTGTAAAATAAAAAAAATAAACAATAAAACATCACAATCAAGTAGTTGAATTAGGCAAATGAACTTACTGCATTCTTACGGCATTCATGAGGGTCACTTTCTTTGCAGCACTTCTCAAGTATATCTTGATATCCCTTAGCAACTCTTACATTCTGTATTTGAGAAAGTTCTTGGTGTCTTTTTGAGAATTCATTTAGGAATCTAACAAACATAATAGACTTTATATGTTATAACCTAATTTAATTCAATTGAAATAAAAATAGTCGTGGAACCAAATCCAAATCCCCCCTCCCCCATGCAACTCTCTCCATTACTTTTTCCTACAAGAAGTAAATTCCTTCAAATAACTGTCTCACTTTATTCTTTAGACCTAATTCCACAAATCAGCAAACAGAAACAAAGATATTTCAATACTAATACTCACTACCCACCCAGCCTGGTTCATTCTAACTTTACAGCATGCTTTTATATCACGTTTTATATCATGCTCAATTACCTCCTTATTACCTTTACATGATACCAGTGGTTGCAATTATCCTTTTAATTCTCTCTGATCATCACCTCCAAATTCCCCCTACTACCTCTTGTCTCAAGTCTCAACTCCCCGTATTAATCTTTGGATTATAGGTTCAAAGGATATCTATAAAGGTTTAAAAGAACTTCAATGGCGAGATTTCAGCTCACGGACAGGGCCCAGTTTATCTTTTGTATTGGTTTGTTTATATTGTAATGTATTTTTCCAAAATCGCACAATGCTGCAGAATATATGTTGGCGTTTCATAAATGCACACAAATATTTGTAGTGAATTGAATACCCATTTGCAATATTTAAGTTAAAATAGCTGACTTGAAAACTACTCAAGCCTGGATAAAGTCTTAGCTTGACTATTTTAGACTGAATTCTGTAATCTGATTTATAATTCATTACAATTTGGTGTTTAGTGATTTAACTCCAAAATAGAAATATGAAATATGAACTCCAATGGCCAACTATGGAATTACTAAAAATAGCATTGCATCATAACATACAGATTATATTTAAGTCTACCTGCCAAGGAACACATCTTGTTCTTTTACAAAGTGTTCACACACATGAGGATCATCAATAAATTCCTTTTCAAGTAGGGGTAAGTCTGCAGGAACATCATCATTTTCCTGATGAATAATGCATGGTGTTCGTTCTAAGACTGGTTTTTTACAGCAACTTTCTAATTTTGATGATAACTCTTTATGATGTTCACACGTATGTTCGGTAAGCTCCAACTGTTGGGTTAAAAGAGAAACAAGGTATATAAATATATAATTTTCATTTGACTTTTTGTAATCATGTTTTACAGTACAAATATTATTATTTCCACTCTCTTTAAAGGAACACTTCAAGCACCATAACCATTACAGTGCTACCATTATGGTGCTTGGTGCCTCCTGGGACCACCAGTGTTAGTAGTCAACATGTTCTCTAATGGTTTCCAGGGTCTGCTGTTCCCATCCCCTTAATTTATAACCACAAAAACACAAATGGACTGCACTTACCATAAACCTAATCCAAGACAATCTCAACGAGGCAGATCCTTAGAAATAGTTGGTTTATTGATGCAGTACAGAACATGATTGAAAACAGAACAGACCTCTTAAGTGAAAAGGGATTCCGTAATAAATATACAAAAAATATAAGAAAAAAAGGGGGGGAAAAATACACGAGATTCAGGCATTCTTTCAGGTGCAGGGATTCTGGGTATTGCATATTGTGTATATATATATATATATATTTTCTATATTTTTGTTTGCTCTATTATATCTAACTATACCAGTGAAGTGCTTGGTGGAACCTTGGTAAAAATGTCAAAATGGTTTCACTACTTACATGGAGAAGGGCAGGGCATTCTTAGTGTTATGACCACCATCCGCTGCACACATGATGATAATCTTAAACTACTATATGAGCTGTGAAATTTTAATTGGCAAAGAAAGTCTACCTATTATTTTCTGGAACCCACAGCATCTACAGGGTTTGAAGGCCATGTATTGTTCGGGAAAAGAAAACACTTCTTATATTTACTCGGCAGATACAGACTTTAAAGGTATCTAAACTTTCAAAATAATCTGTAGGATGTGGTGGACCTCAGCACTTAATCTGATGGTCACAAGCCAGAATATTCAAGTTCAGATCACACCAAAGTGATAGCAAAAATCCCTTATTGGCACAGAGTAACTTTGTTTCCAATGTTAAACAGATTGTCACTAGACGACTAATGGATCAATCCACTGATTCAGCACCTTATGACCCAGGGCCCTTTAGGGCATTGTTTTCCTCTCTCTCTCTCTCTCTTTCTCTCTCTCTCTCTCTCTCTCTCTCTCTCTCTCTCTCTCTCTCTCTCTCTCTCTCTCTATATATATATATATATATATATATATATATATATATATATATATACACACACACACATATATATATATTGAGGATTCAGGCATGACAGTTGAATGGGAAACATTTTTGAAACAAGGCCTACCTAAGTCAGTAATTGACTTTCTAATAAAAGCAAAAACATCTCTACACTACATGTTTATTATATAATATGGAAAGTACTTTGTGACATCCTATAGGGCAAGGATCCAGTTCAACCACATCTTTCTGACAAATTACTTTTCTATAATCAGGATGAGACAATGGACTTTGTATTAGTTCCTTAAGAGTTCAGTTATCTGCTGTATTGGCACTAATAATCATCAAATGTGCTGCACATTATGTGGTACAAAGCTTTTTTAAAGCAGTTCTGTGCATTAAACCACCAATATGATCTTCTATGAGATCTTAGGACCTGCCTGTGGTACTATCAAAACTTCTTTCCAACCACTGGAATTGGTTTTCGGAAACTCTACTGGCTATCAAAAACAGGTTGTTGCTGTTTTTTAGGTCGCTATTAAGTTTCTGTTATTCAAGCCTTTTATATTAAAATACTTTTTCCTAGAATTTCTACAGCTGTACCAGGAAACAGTTCTTTTGGGTTTCTTCTTATATTTAATCTTTGAAGAAGACCAGTGGCATCCTTTTTACTTTGAAAGATGTCCATTCATATAACGATTCAAGCTGTACAGAAATTGAGAGACTATGCATCCTTCCTTTTGGATCAAGCAGCATCAACAGCATTGTTTATGACACAGTTTTCCTTTTTGCTGCTCAATCGCCATCCAAATAAGTCTGGTCAATAAAATATGCAGTGCTAACTATTCCTCTCAAAATATAATTTTATGATATTGCAGGTGCTTAAGAAAAAAGAAAGGATAGAGCAATCACCCTTTTTGTGGTGTATCCTGTATGGCCGTATTCATAGCTCATCAAACAGATGGACATGATTACATAATACAATGAACACTGGACGTGATGCAGAATCGTATCCCCAATATGTTTTTGTTTAGGTTCTAGTGGAGGTACTATATGCTAATACTGTGAATACCTAGACATTTTAGGGGATAATAATCAAGGTTTTCAGTATATTATCATTTTTGGTTAATTTAAGGTAATAATGAAAATCCGTTTTACCCTTTCAAGCATGCATTCCAGCAAGTCACCATGACAACAATCCTGATGCAAATGTACAATTTCATCAGTAAGTTTACTTGCGGTTGCAAAATTTGCATTTGGGTACTTTTGGCTTATCTGCGAAAGTTTCCTGTGAAAGTTAAACAAATAAATAAGTGAAGCATTATTTTATGTAATATTCCATATATATGTGTAATCTCTTTTTTTTTGCTGTCAGATAGCCACCATGGCCATCACTCTTATATCGCTAATCTCTTATAGACAGATACCATACATTTATAACTTTAATCACCATTCCTTCCTGAGAAAGGGGCAATCTGAATTAAACTTTTCTCTCCAGAACATATATTACCTTTCATTACAACTCAATATGAAACCAAACTTGAACCATAAGTCCAAGTTACCTTCATGTTTGTTCAGTGCTGATTTCTTGCACTACAGAGAACATATTTCTCAGCTGAGGCAGCTTTCTGTGTTTCTGATCTATGCAGAAGGACCCCACTCTATTTTCACACTCCACATTTCCATGTCAAAATTCATGACTGCATTCTGGCAGCCAGGAAATTAGGGAGGGGAAACACTAAACATGTTACAGGGATTTGTTGGAGTCTGTAATAACAATCCGAAATGTCCTGCTAATTTGTGCAACTGTACTTAATTTGTGCAGGTGAAAATAAATTACACTGTAATTATTATAAATATATCCTTCCTTTTATTAAGAATAGAATCCAATTTGGATTTCATATTTGACAGTTTATAAAATGTGCTCTTTTATTTTTACTTAAAAGTTTTATATTTAGGTTAAAGAGACACTATAGTTACCAGAACAACTACAGCTTAGTGCAGTGGTTCTGGTGACTAAAGCCTGTTCATGCAGGTTTTTCAATGTAAATCACTGCCTTTTCCCTGCCTTTCTTGCGTTTCCGCCTAGGAATACCTCTAGTAGCAGTCACTCAGATGACCACTAGTGGTGCTTCCTAGTCCAGTGCTGCACACTGTGCAGCACCAGAGTTGAGCGTCTCCACAGAGGTAGAGGTGCTGAACATTCCATATAGAGATACTGATTGGCACATTGCGCACTTTGCATGGTATTTTGTGCAATATCCACCCAATGCTTTCCTGTGGGAAGCATTGGATTCACCAAATCAGCAAGACTGATGATCTCAGCCATGGAGGCAGGCCAGCTGCAGCAAAACAGGTTTGGTATGTGATAAAAAGTAAGTAAAATCACCTTTTCACTACTCTGACAGGGGGGCAAGGGACCTAAACAGCCATACCAGCACTGCAGTGTCGGGAATACATTAGGTTTGTTCTTGTATTAAAACCACACTGGCGGCTTGACAATTCATGTGATTTATGAACACTGACACTAGTAGAAGCCATGTATATGTCATTAAATTGTCAGGACTTCCATTTGAAATGTTACTTTTACCAATCTATAACAAAATGGCAGATAATTGACAGAGCTGATCATTACATCCAGAACTCATTAAAAAGGATTCCATCAGATAATTTAAAAAAGAGTAAACACTTACAGAGCCCGAAGGGTTCTAACAGGATATTTGTTAACAATACGGCAAATTTCTCTATGATGATATTTAAGTCCAAGCTTTACTTTATGTTGCTCTGTCATCTGGATTAAAACATAATTGGTTAAGGAAATGGTCATTAGTCAGAAACAATTTTCCAATAGAAATTAAAAAATAAATAAATGTGTATCTGCTTGAGATCATTTGACATAATTAAGGGAGTTCCAAGAGTTGGTGATATTTAAAGTGGTATTTTAATATGAAAAATACTAATAGAAAAAGATTGCTGTTAGGGATGCTTTCCTATAAATTCTGTAAATCTTCTGATAGAGGTACAGAGGTAGAAGAATGTTGTAAAAGCATGAGAAGTAAGATTTATTTTGAGTCTGCTATTTTGGGTTACATTCTCTTAGATCTTTTTGACTCCATGTAATACAATGTCTACTGTCTAGCCTGGAAAAGAGTTCTCACTCACTTATATTTATAGTTCGTAAATAGCAAGATACAATCTCCTACATGCATTTATATAGACTAAGATTGCATAATTATATAATAAACTAAATACTATTAATAATAAATACTAAATAAGTATTGTTTCCCATCAATGTCAAGTTTCTAGAATATAAATTAAAATATTGTAATAACAATGTAATAATATAAATTTACAATGTATTTGCTGTACCTTTTCTTTAAGGCATGCATCCTTGTCTTCTGCTTCACAACAAGCAGTCAGAATGCCTTCATAACCTTGAGAAAGTACAATGATTGCTGGTGGATTAATGTCTTCAAATCTGCGTCCAACCTCATGAATGTAACTGGAATATATATATATATAGACAAAATCACTTTCTCCTTCACTTTTTCAAGAGTAAATTTTCATAAGTAATTAGGTAGAATGTGTTTATTTATAAAATTGTTTCAGCTTTTTTTTAACAAAAAACAATCTATTATTTTATGTAGTGACATGTCTCTTGGATATAAATAATGCATTCAATTTTCAATCAATTTGTTTTTACATTTTTATAATTAAAAAAAATTGTACTTATTCTTACTGCTGCACAATATGTTTTGGATCTGCCTTGAATTCTTTGCAGAGTTCTTCTGAAGTTGGCTTCTTGTATGGTTCTAACTCCACATGACTGTGTTCATGAAAACACTTGACCCTGTCAGGATCTCCCTTGGCACAGCATTCTTCTGTCCACTTATAATGAGTTGCAAGATCAGGAATAGCACACACCGAATTATAAAATAAAGTGTTCTGCAAGCAATACAAAAAGTGATTAATATAAATATTGATTAAAAGGATATTATAGGCATCAAAACAACTTTAGCTTATTGAACCCATTTTTCTGTATACATCATGCCTCGACTGTCTAAATGCTCAATTCTCTGCCATTTAACATACAGCAATGGTGCTTTCTATCCATAAAATCTAGGCAGCATTTAGTAATTATGGGCTGACATTATGCATTTTATGGTTACTTAAAAAGGAGGTTTTACTCCAGTTACAGGAAATCATTTTGGGTGTAAAAGATGTAATATCTAAATAGTGTGATTTTGCTCCATCTTTGCTTCATGCTCCAGTAAATGTTAAAGTATATAGTTCCAATTGTTATTATAGCATGTGGCAATATGCAGGTATAATCTGTCCTGTAATGTATATTGTTTTATGAACCATCAATAGTATTTAAAAAGTCAACATTTATTTGCTTTATTGTCAAATGTTTGGCTTTGTGTACTTTTTGTTTGTGATTATCATATAGCAGGGATACATAGAACATTCTTTTGGAATGTATGCCAGTACTTTAAATACTCCTAAACATGCTAATTAAATTATATAGTTATAATAATACCTAATTAGCCTGATAACTGACATGATATGGGTTTGAGGCATTAGTTGAATATCATTGATGGACATTATGAACCTACTCCAACAGTACAATAAGCATTAGTTACTTTAAGTTCAGACAATGTAAAGGTAGGCAGACAAGCATAATAAATTAGCAGGAAATGCTAGCAGAATGCTTGGTTGTATAGGGAAAGGTATTAGCAGTAGAAAGAGGGAAGTGCTCATGCCATTGTACAGAACACTGGTGAGACCTCATTTGGAGTATTGTACTCAGTACTGGAGACCATATCTTCAGAAGGATATTGATACTGGTTCATGGATTGCAGGATAAAATTTTCCAGGAAAGGTTAAAGAAAAACTACCATAACAAGAGTACATAGTCTTATATTAGAGGGGCAAAAGTTTAAAAATAATTTCAGGAGGTATTACTTTACACAGAGGATAGTGGACGCATTGAATAGCCTTCCAGCTGAAGTGGTAGAGGTTAATACAGTGAGGGAGTTAAAGCATGCGTGGGATAGACATAAGGCTATCCTAACTATAAGATAAGGCCAGGGACTAATGACAGTATTTAGAAAATTGGGCAGACTAGATGGGCCAAGCAGTTCTTATCTGCCGTCACATTCCATGTTTCTTTGTTTCTATGTTACTAACCACAGGCTTTTTACATTCTTCATCAGCATGTTCCTGCTCACAATGCTTTGCAAAGTCAGAAATTTTTGCCACTATCTTAGCATGCTCTTCTAATGGACATTTCTGAAGGTTCCGAGCAAGCATAATCAACACTCTAGAATATAATAAAACAAAGAGAATAATAATTAACAAAAGTGCATATTGAAGACATCCTTTAAAACAAATGTTATTTATACACACCGTGAAAAGTATTGTATTCTTTGCAATTGTTTCTTTCAAATTAAATATTCTCTTTTAAATTATTGGTAAAAGAATGTACACCTTTTTATTATTGCAATCCAAAGTGCAGTACAATGTATTCACAAGATATACAAATTAATTAAACTCACATTTGACTGAGGAAAAAGGTAGTGGGGTAGTAGAAAGAGCACATTTTGTTCAAATGAAAAATGCATTGCACATGTATTGAGTACATAGGCTGTGAATAGTGTTCTACTCTAATGGGGTTGAATGAACAACACTAGTAGTGAATAAACACAAAAATGGGAATGTGGCAGGGGAAAGGAGTTATGTTTATTGTTATGAACTGCTCAATAGATATGTTTTTAAAAATTTCTTTAAATAACATGAAGTCAGGGAAAGGAAATGTGAGACCAATGATGAGTAACCAAAGTATGAGATAAGAAGCGCATTTTAGATATATCAGGTGTTAGGAAAGAGCAGGATTTGGAAATTGAATGGATCTGGAATATAAAAGAGAGAACACTAATTCAACGAGCTGCCAAGATAAACTTACTGGTAGCACCATTCACTGTTACAGAGCATGAAAACTTAAAAAAAGAAAGGCAATTAGTGATTTTGAGGGACCAAGATTTAGAAATTAAGCAGGCACCAAGTCAGAGATGGAGTAGTAGTTTGTGACATGGTGAAGGAGGGAAGATGAACAGTCAGGAGAAGAAAGGTAGACTAGATGTAGTGTCATAAAGTGGTAATGAAAAAATTGAAGAAAACGATGATAGAGTAGAGTCACACAGATCAAAGATGCAGAGTGAGAAGAAGCTGGAGGTCTGTAGTGTCAAAAGCTCCAGAGAGATTGAGATGGTGCAGTAGAGAATGATGAGACTGACAACCTTGTTTAGAGTAATTGCAGTAAAGTGTGGAAGATGGAAACCTGGTGGAGTTCAGTACGGAGTTAGAGTCAAAGTGGAATTTTTATTTTTTTAAACTGTGAGTCACAGTAGCATGCTTACATTGAGTGAGAAAGATATCAGAAGAGTGAGACAGATCTAGAAAATGAGCACCTGAGTCAGAAATATTAATAATAACAGTATACATTTTACGGGTAACATTACTTACATGGCATCAAAAACTTCACTTCCTAATTCTTTGTGTATACCAACAAGTGTTCTATGTTCTGAAAAATAAAATAATAAAAGTAACTCAGAAAATTGTAGCTACAATGAAACAGAAATATAACAAACTAGTATGCTTACATGCCAATAGTATTACAACAGTAAATAAAAAAAATAAAAAAGAATCTTCAATTCACATATATTGATTTTAGATGACACATGTATAATCAAAATAGATGATTATATAATTAAATAATCAAGATAGATGATTAGATAATTGATTGACTGATAATTGTGTTACCGACTTGGCTTGTTATACATTTTTTTCAGAATTCTATGCATTTTGACCTTGACTAGTTTCTCAAGTTTGTGTATTTGTGTGCTCCCTGACCTTGGCCTGCCTGTTTTACATCTCTTTGTCAGTCATCAGACTGTCTTCTGTTTTTAAATTTAAACCTGGCCATTCTAAGGACCAGTAATGCGTTTTCTGACCTTTTGTCCTATGTTTGTAAATTAGGAATATCCTGATCCTGAGCATACTCTCTGCTATTACTGTGCTTTAATTAATGTAGTTTCCCACATTCAGCTATCTTCCCTTCTTTCACTAGTTCCACTAAATAAGGTTACCAGGCAACCCATAGGCTGGAACCTACTGGAGGTATGATTAAGGCAAGAAATATACTCTTCCTGCTAGCCATACTAATTCATACCAGCAATTGCCATTGTGAATGGCTGGAAGTGGTCAACTGACACTCTCAGCCAATCACAGCCACTCATTGTTGCTCCATCCAATGCTTCCTCACTAGTCTAAGTAACCCAGAGTGGATGGGTTGCTGGGGATTCTCACTTATCATTAAAACTGTTTAACACTGAATGGAAGGATGGTTCTGGGCAAATCCAGACTGTGTTCTATTCTTTTTCAATGTTTTAAAGCTCACATACAGGCATACCCCACTTTTAAGTACACAATGGAACCAGATCATGTATGTTAAATGAAAATGTACTTAAAGTGAAGCAATACCTTTTTTCACTTCCCAATGCATGTACTGCATTGCAATAGTAATTTACAGGCATAGCTGATACTGCAACTGCAGATTTCCGGTGATTTTATTTCCAGTGAGCTATTTAGTGATTTCCAGTGGGCTTTTATTCAGTTAAAACAAACAGTAAAAAGAAAAATCTCATTCCAGATTGTACCATTTATCTTTAATGTTTTACTCATCTGACAACCTTAAACTGGGAGGAAAAGTAAAATAAATCTGCCCATTGGGCCATTTTATGTCAATACAGTGCCAATTTGTATTTGTTAGCAGCTTAGTTGCACACTTGGTTTAGAAACACCTCTTCATCACTGTAAGCATTTATGGTTTGACTTTGAATCCTCAGAATTGTGGCTAATGTAGCTAAGCTTCTAAGTCATTGTTATAGAAAATGGCAGGGTAAACCCTTTCACTGGATGGAAGTCAATTGCAGAATATGGATAATGTAGGGGCAGAAAAAAAAATATGTTCAGCTAGTAGTAGACATTGTAAATTTGAGATGATTGAGATGATTAAGGTGTCTTGCCCCAATGACACTGAACTGAGCTGCTCCGGGCGAGAATAGAACCTTCCATTTCCTGTTCACTCGCAAAGAGAAGAGGCATGGGAATGTCTGTACTCGCAAGGCACCTTTACGTACACTGGCGGGAATGTCTGCACTCGTGAGTGTACTTAAAGTGAGTATATGTAAAGCAGGGTATGCCTGTATTGCATATTAATGGCCACACTCCTCTGCTTTTTAGTGTTTTAGTATAGTGGACAAACCTTCCTTGTATCATATATATATATATTTCCTTGTTACTCTTTACATGGCCTACAAAGCACAGTAATGCTGAACAGCATATAGGGGGGAAGCGAAGGTAAGACTTATAAAATGTTATTTGGGCATATATGAAGGATATAATAGCAGTCTGCTCTATCCTCACAAAGCACAGATATTAAGTTGTTGCTAGGTAACTATTTGCTCGTTGTAGGCATCCAGTATCCAGTATTTTTACATACAGTCAAAATGTGCATATGTTGCTGGCAGTTTGGGAAATTAATTCCCAAAAATGCTATCATATATGCATTAGCAAGATATTTGACCATGATTACATACATTGTAATTGTCGAACTTCACTATATGCTTTACTATATGTTTACTATTGTATGCTATTTTTCTGAGCTTGTCAATAAATAGCAAAAAAAAAGGCATATAGAATATTTATAGATTGTTTTAATACATCTATAATAGATGATAGAAACAAACATCTTAACTACGTCATGATTGAGAACCTTAATTTGAGAAAAGAATTATGATAATCTATTTTTTTTCCATTAATTATAGTTAGGAAATCGATGATGTAGTGCAATAAGTTGTGTATTATGAAAGTCTAAAGTTATTGAGAATCACATGTATGTTTGCATAAAAAAATGTTTAAATAAATCTATAACTATTACACAATATTGGAAGACTGACCTTTTCCAATAATCAATCAATATTTTATGGAAGTAAAACAAATTTTAAATATATTTTAAATATGCATATGTTTAAAACAACATATAGTAGTTTAGTAATTTGAATTGGGGATCCATAAAGAAAAATAAAATGTTAGATAAACAAATATACGTACAACTTTAGTACAATCTAATAGTATAAGTAGTCTCAACAAAAATAGATTTTATTGAAAGTCATCTTTATGAGTAATATTCACATACCTGCATCTCTCTTTATAATATTTCTCGAGTCAATTAATGTTGATCCAACTATCAAGCAAACTAAAATGAACCACTTCATGGCTGCAAAGTTTTGTTGGAGGACCTCTTGGAAGCCTGATAGAAGTAAGAAACATCATTCCTTTTATACTATTTTGAGAAAAAAAATCTTGAAAATAATTAACGAACATACACGTATTTTTTTATTAATATTTGCCTTGCTGACACTTACAAATTTGAATAACATGTGGTGAAAAAATATATGTAAACATGTTAAATATGTTTTGGCTGCTTTCTCTTTCAAAGACCTTGTAAATCAGATAGCTCATAATGCTTACCTTATCAAACATTGAACAAAAGGTTAAACAAACTGATCTTAGTTTATGACAAAATCATGGTCTGTGCCCTGAAATAACATCCAAATATGTGAAAGGTTCAAACATAAGTATACTAAAATGTTTTATGGATGGATGGCCGGATGGGTGGATAGATGGACATAATACCAGCAGACATGTAAATGAATTGTGGTATTGAAAGCTGGTTGCATCGCATTTTAGCTTTCAGTAGCTGGAATACAATTCTTATTAATTTTGTTAAAAAATTGTGTTTTGCTCTATTCACATACAAAGCAAAGTACCAGATAACACATACAGATAGAAGAATATTGGCATACTGGTGTACATATGGGGAGTGTGAGAGCTGGGCCTGTGAATTGAGGTTTTGTGGGATAAGTAATAATTAATCAATAAAAGACAAACAAGATAGAGTATAGGTAATAACCACATATAAAATAATTAGCCATGAATTGTGATGTAAGATTAATTGCAATGTGCGGTTAAACAATATTGTGTTAGCATAAATAATGGAACATAATTTTACAAGCAGCAGTGACTAATGTGGCCCACACAAGCACTACTAAATTAAATCTAACATCGCACTCCGTGAAAGCTAACAGGAGTATTTAGAAACACATAAAAAGATGAGACCAGACAGGGGTGCCCGCTCTCGCCACTTCTATATCTTATTGCCACAGAGCCCCTGACAATACCGATAAGAGCAAATAACCAAATTAAGGGCCTGCACATCTCAGATGATAGTGTCAAATTAACTATGTATGCAGACGACATCGTACTTACCCTCAGTGATCCAATAAACTCAATGAGGAAACTGATACTCCTTATGAAGGAGTTTTCAGACCTTTCAGGTTACAAACTGAATTTAGATAAATCAGTCGCACTGCCACTTAACCTGCCTCAGGATGTCGTCGAAGGTTTAAAGCAGGTTTTTGGCTTCACTGTTCGGGAATCATTTAGCTGTCTGCTGGTTGAGATTGCGAGTGATCCTTCAAAAATAATGGAACTTAACTTGTCATTATTAAAGGAAACCGGTAGAAAAATGAGGGAATGGGGAAACACCAAAGTTTCATGGTGGGAAAGAATTAACATGGTCAGATCCTACATTCTTCCAAAGTGGATCTATTTATTCCGAATGGTACCTATAGCATGCCCAGACAGTTTGATAGTTTTTACACAGTCCCTTATAAACAAGTTAGTCTGGATGGGGAAGCACTCTCGTATTAGCGCTAACCGTATGTAGCCAAAAGGTCAAAATGGGAGACTAAGGCTACCCCCTTAAAAGATTATTAGAAAGCTTGCTACTTATCACATGCCCTAATCACTGAACTAGGTAATGCCAAAGACCAAAAATGGTACAAAATTGAACAATCCCTGATCCAGACAGAACAACATAAAATGGATCTGAGTATGCTATTTTGGCAAATAAAGAGTAAACAGAGAAGTACTCTACTGGTTAAACTCTTTAGTATGGTTCTTGAAAATATAGTAAAACAATGGGAGAATTGTAAAAAAGGGTTATTGATCCAAAACAAAATTACCCCTTGCCTTTCTCTTTGCTATATAACTAATAATATAGATGATTTAAATATAAAAAACTGGACTAAAGGTGGTCTCCTAAAAATAAGTAACTTAATGAATAACAACAACTTAAAAGATGTTTCCACACTTAATAAAGAATATAATTAGGATAGTAGAGAAGTCTTCAACTATCTAAGAGATCTTAAGGGTTTTCTGCACAACCACTTAGCTTCCAAAACAGACAAACTGAATATATTGGAAAAAGTATTGAAAAAAACAACGCTAACGAAGCTGGTAGCTGGATGTATGGATCTGGTCATCAGTAATTCTGATACACATATTAAACCTATTCTAAAGAAATGGGATAAATATTTAAATATTTAAATATTCAAATTGTCTGTGAGGTTTGGAAAAGTTCTTGGAATGTGGTTCACAAAAATATTAATTGTCTTAATCTGGAGTGCCACTACAAACTTTGAAATCGTTGGAATTTGGTCCCAAGTAGGCTGTCTAAATATTTTCCAGATAAAGATCATAGTGGCTGGAGGTGTGGGGATTGTACATTTTTTTTTTTACATATATGGTGGGACTGCCCTCCCATCACACTTTTTTGTAATATGATTGGGAGTAAGATCTTAAAATTAACTAACATACCTTCTACCTTTGGTCCCGACTTATTCTTATTACAGTTCAATGTCAGTGAGTAAGCGTATGTTTCTCAGTGAGTGTCTGTGTGTGTGTGTGTGTGTGTGTGTGTCTGTCAGTGGTTATGTGTGTCAATCAGTGTCTTAGTGCATGTGTGTGTGTGTCAGTGAGTGAGTGTATGTCTGTCAGTGAGTGTCTGCCTGTGTGTGTGTGTCTGTCTGTCTGTCAGTGAGTGTGTGTGTCTGCCAGTGTGTGTCTGTCAGCGAGTGAGTGACATGAGGGGTGGCAAAATGGATATTTGCCTAGGGTGGCAGAAATCCTTGCACCGGCCCTGTCTGTCTTCTGCATTGACAGTTAATCAATTTGTGTAGACAAGTACTATCCTTAAAAACTGAGCATCCTATACATTCTTGCCAATGTCAGCAATGAAACCATTTTTGCTTATGTAGGGAGGTCATTAAATCCTAAAATCTTGAGGTATGGCAACATCAATGACAAAAATCTACATTATACAGTTGATGTGAAAGTAATTTTGTAAATGCTAATTTATTATTATTTAATTAGGTAAAACCATTATCAAGGATGTATCCAACATCACCTATGCCAGGGGCATTGTTAGGTTTCAAAACTACCCAAAAGATGCCCAAACTGACTCTCTACACCATTTCTGACAACATTCCCAGAAGATTTCAGCTTTATATATCTCTGAGTCTCTACTTCCCCACCCCTCTTGATACCTACATGGACTTACAGGATGTTTTTTTTATAAAATGGGAAGTGGTATGAGTACACTGGAAAAAAAAATTTTTTTTGACAAATTGAAACTTGGATTACATTTTATATATTGGGCAGAATATCAGAATGTTAAATTAATCATATATTGTCATAAGTACAGATGCCTGCCTGGATATATTTAGAATTATGAAAATAAGCATGTTGGAGTCTCAGGTTACTCCTAAACTCCAGAAGAAGGAAAAAGTGTTTATGTGGACTTCTCGTCTTTTCAATTAATCAGGGTCAAACTGTGCAGAGAGTATTAAAGGAAAATGCAGGTATCTGAATATTGGGGGCTAGAAAATATATTTTTTTCCTTATTTAACTTTGATTTTTCAAGGTTTTTTCACAGGATTTTTTAAAATACATACTGTGTTACATAGTACTTCAGGATGTAGTAACTACACATGAATTGTGAGGGGTGGACAATAACTGACAACTGAGCTTAATAGTTTAAATCAAGACAAATGTCTCTGAAATTCTCATGGTCGAGAATCTCAACACTTCACATAGTGGATTAAGTCAAGCTTTATTTGGTACTACTGTATTAGTTACAGTATTTGGGTTGGCAAGGCCCTCACCTTGCTCTATATGCATACTGTGTCGTTTTGTTATCTACACTATTTTTATTCTTTTTTGAATGCAAACTGTCAGTAAAAAAATAAAAATTCATGGAGACTCACAAAAGATCTGAAATTGCTTTATACATGTTATACAGAACACTTAAAGGACCCTTCCAGACCCATAGAGCACTTCAGCTTTCTGAAATGCGTTATTTCTATAGAGTATCCCTTTAGAAGTTCCATTTATAAAAGTGCCAATTTCATTGTGAAATTTGCACTTTTATCTTTAACAATAGGAACGCCTCCTTAGCTGTCAATCAAACAGCTGGGGATATTCACTTCCTACTTCTGTTAGCTCTATGTAGCTAACGGAAGTAGCAAGCACGTTCTACTAGATCGCACCTGTAATCCTACTTTTCCTGCATTTTTTAATTTTATTTATGTTAGCAAGTGCACTATAATTTTTACACGTGCGGGACCTCTAGCCTTCCATTTCTCTTGCTTGCAACCTCCTGACAGAAGAAAGGTGTTTTTAAAGAGGAGGACTGATAAAGGAAAGAGTACATTAATTAAAGAAAATTCATAGGTGAGATGCTTAAAAGAGGATCAGAAATAATAGTGTGGGAGAATTACAGTATTAGGTGGAGAGCTGATGGAATTGATACCTGTTTATGAGAGAGACAGATGGAGAAATTATACTGGTGGTGAAGCAGGGAAATTTAGTTAAGATAGGCTGATTAAGAGGGAACTTATAGAGAACCTATAGAGATAAGATGGCTTATTTAGGTGTGTGAGGCATATCCTAGAGCAGTAGCAGAGAAACATATTATGGAGAAGCAAGAGACAAATGGAGGAGTAAAGCATCTTATGCAGCAGATGACTACTTGATTCTTCAGAATGCCTACAATGTTTTCCTGCAACCCTCCCAAATTGTATCTAATATACTAACACTAGGGTGAAGTCTGCCTAGCACTACAGATGGATGTGTGAGAAGTGAACTCAACAATATCAAGTTACAGCAACTAGCTCTCTGAAACCCTCTTTTATTTCCATTTCCCATGCTCATCAGTCCTTCCTGATACCTGTGGGTTGAATGTTGCCTTGCAAAAGGTTGGAATCCAGCTCTTCTGTGACCCCAATCTTCCAACCACTCAGGGAAACTGATATGGTCCAATATGGGGACACTTGACTACCACCTTGCAACGCTCTCTGCATGGCAACACCTGTTTTCAGGAAAACACCCACCTATACATAATTTACATTTTTAGTAGAGTGGGGTGGTTGGAAGGGAAAATTTGTCACCAATCTCCCAAGTGGAACCCTAATAACCAATGCACTTCTATATGTTCTATAGTATATTGAAATCATAAAATATGATCAAATCATAAAATTTGAAAATAATGATCAAATCATAAAATTTGAAAATAATGATCAAATCATAAAATTTGAAAAT